GACTTGCGGGTCTCCTCGGTCCCCCAGCTAACGTGTGTCGCGCCCGCACGGTCTCCCCCAGCCCAAGTGCTGCTTATTCAGTTAGCGGTTCTGCTCTGTGGCTCCTGGTCACTACTTGGTTTTCCTCAGAATTTCCCACTCAGCATTTTTCCAAATGGATTTTAGAATCCTTGATTTTTTAAAAATTCATTGGGGCTTTATCAGATCTAATTGAACTTGGAGAATGTTAGCGTTTCACAACATTTTTACACACTAGCGGATGTATTCTTCCGAGAGAGGGCGGCGCCACCGCTGCCCCGCCAGCGCCCACCCGGCCGGTGCCTTCCGGGCGCTCGGACGCCGCGCCCCTCGTCGGAGCCCACGGCCCACGGGCCCGGCTCCCGGAGCTCAGCCCCTGGGCCACACACACCCCTGGGCCTCTTGCTGCCCTCGCTGGTCCCGGGAACGGTGACCCTGAGGGCAGGTCCCTGCTAGTCTGACACACGGAACCCCCCAGCTTCAGCCACCCCTGCGGGAGGAGGAGGGTGTTTGCAAGGAGAAGCCCTCCGGCTTGGCTCTCTGCTCTCTGCAAGCGTGGCCGAGGTCCATCTCCAACAAAGGCATCCCAAAGTGGGGACACAGGGTGGCAGCTTTTGGGGGGGAGGGTGGGCGGAACTTGGACACGCAGCCTGTGAGGCCTGCAGGGTGTGGGGTGGTGGGGAGGGAAAGGCTGAGCTCCGCGGGCAGGCCCCCTTCCTGCTGCACCTCGCTCCCAAGAATGTCGAGGAAGCTGCGGATCTGAACTCCTCTGTGGGCCTCTGAAGGCGCCACTCCTCAGGGCGGAGGGGCAGCCCTACCACTGGATTTGTGCCTTTAAATACGTAGGTGCCTCAAGCAGCCCGGGAGCCCCTCAGGGCCCTGGGAGGGTGTTGGGACCCAGAGAAAATGCCCCGGTGCGACTAGAAGCACAGAAACCAAAAATCAGACCGCGGTGGATTCCAGCGTCCTGTCAGGGGCAGCTGCGCTCCCTGCCACGCGGGCCAGTTCTCCACCAGAAAGGGCCCAGTGGTCCCCAGGGCCTGGGACAGATAAGAGAGGATGGGTGGGCAGAGGGTTCCCAAGGGCCTGCGCCTTCTGGGCCCACAGATGTGAGTAGGGTGTCACGGGTGCTGCAGGGCTGGGAGGCTGGCCCTGTTCACCCGCTTCTGTCTCTCCCTACCCTTGTCCACACAGCCCGGCCACGCCTGTGCAGCTCGGGGCCCTGCCGGAACGGGGGCACGTGCAGGGAGGCGGGCAGCGAGTACCACTGCAGCTGCCCCTACCGCTTCACCGGGAGGCACTGCGAGATCGGTGCGGCCCCCTGCCAGCTGGAGTCAGCCTGGATCGGGGGAGCCAAGCCCCCACCCAGCCACCATGCGTCTGCTTGTCAGGAGAACCCCCTGAAGGCGCACCAGCTCTGGGATGTTGGCGATCAGGGGAGGGGCGCTGGGTGGTGGGTGCATGACACCTGACTCCCATAGGGGCCTTCTGTTTCCAGGGAAGCCGGACTCCTGTGCCTCGGGCCCCTGCCACAACGGCGGCACCTGCTTCCACTACATTGGCAAATACAAGTGTGACTGTCCCCCAGGCTTCTCTGGGCGGCACTGCGAGATAGGTAAGGTGGGCAGAGGCCAGTGGACTAGCCCAGCTGGGAGCAGCACAGCCAGGGCACCTGGGGGCCCCATCTGCTCCCAGTGGGCAGAGGTGCCCTGCTTTGGAGGAGTGGGAGGCAGAGCTCCCATGAAGCCTAGAGGTCTTTGGGGAGGACACAGCGATGATGACCCCCTCTGTCCTTGCAGCCCCCTCCCCCTGCTTCTGGAGCCCCTGCATGAACGGGGGTACCTGTGAGGACCTGGGCCCAGATTTCTCCTGCCGCTGCCGAGCAGGGTACATGGGACGCCGGTGCCAGGCGGGTGAGAGGGCTGCGGGTTGGGGTGGAAGGCATGGGATTTCTTCCTAATCCCGGAAGAGCAGAGCAGGGCCAGACAGGGAGCTGAGAGGAGGGAGGGGAAAGAAGGAGAGAACCTATGGGCAGCTACTCCTGGAAGTCAAGACACTTTCACCCTGGGAGGGCTGTGCAGGGCGCAGGGGTCCCAGGCCCTGCGGCCTGCTGGGGCAGAGGGCAAAGCTGAGGGAGGGGCCTCAGGCAGGTGCCCCCCAGTGCAGGACAGGGCTTCTATGTCCTTACAGAGGTGGACTGTGGCCCCCCGGCGGAGGTGAAACATGCCACGCTGCGCTTCAACGGCACTCGGCTGGGCTCCGTGGCCCTGTACAAGTGTGACCAAGGCTACAGCCCGAGCTCCCCCAGCCACGTCCGCGTCTGCCAGCCGCAGGGTGTCTGGAGCGAACCTCCACAGTGCCACGGTGATCTGCAGGCCCTCCGGGGCAGGGAGGGCGGGCAGGCGGGCAGAGCCAGTGGGGTCCACACCCTCCTCCCCAGGGCCCCTCAGGGGAGCACAGGGACCACAATTCTGACCCTGGCCCTCCCCCACCTTCCCACAAAGTGAGGCCATGACCCTGTGGGGAAGGTGGTGAGGACTAGTGGCAGCTCCACTCTGGACTGTTCACTAAGGGCTTCCCTGTCCTCAGAGCAGGGCGTCCAACCCATATGCCCACCCTGCAGATGAAGCAGCTGAGGCCGGGAGGTAGCCCAAGGGTAGAGTACTCAAGAGGCAGATTAGGATTCAGGGCCCGTCTCCTGCTCCTGGCCCTGGCCCCACCCAGACCCATGGAAGCAGACCCTGCATTTGAACAAGGCCCCCTAGGACCCCCAGAGCCATCTGAGGAGTGCTGCTTCAGAGAGCGTTGCCTCAGGCTCCCACAGTGTGCCAGGGTGCATGGCCTGGAGGCAGGGCCCCCCGACTGATGCCCCTGCAGACACAGGGCCACTAACACAACTGCAGGTGTGTTGCATTAAGCCTAAGCATCCCTAACTCTGCTCATCAGAAAACCTGCGTGATGTTAACACATCTTTCACAAAACAAGGATTTTTTAAAGATTTTATTTATTTATTTGAGAGAGAGAGAGCACAAGAGGGGGTAGAGTCAGAGGGAGAAGCAGGCTCCCCGTGGAGCAGGGAGCCCGATGTGGGACTCGATCCCAGGACTCCGGGATCATGACCTGAGCCGAAGGCAGACGCTTAACCGACTGAGCACCCAGGTGCCCAAAACAAGGATTTTTAAACAAAGCAACTCAGGGGCCACGACAGCACCCAGAGACGGGTGGGGCACGCAGTGCTGCTGTGTCCCAATGCTCTGCAAAGCCCGAGCTGGGAGGCCCCACGCAGGTGAAGAATTCTGGAAGACAGATGGGGGCTGCCTAGCGCCAAGTGTCTTTCCTGTCCTCCTATCTATCCAAGCCCAACCCTCTCCAAAGATAGTAACAATAAAGTCCAAACAACATAAACCATCGGGAGCGGAAGTATAGAAGGTGGACGAGCATATATATAAGCATGACAGGTATATGGAAGGAAACATGGCACTGGTCATAAGAAACAGGGTTGATAAATCATTTTTAACCAAAGAGAGTGGAAAAGAGGACTGAAAAACTATAATAGCTGAAATAACAGACACAATTTACAAATGGATACAGATGAAGGCTAAGTTAATGAGCTAAGAGACCAGTCTGAGGACTCATCCCACAGAGAAGCAGGGAGGTCTGTGTGAAGATGTAGGCACTGTGGAGGGTAGAAGTGCCAACACTGAGGTAACAGGAGTCCAAGACAAGAGAGAAATAAAAACACAATGAAATGTTGGAGCCACTATGGAGCTCAGTTCCCAGAATGACAGATGAACCACCACAGGCTGAAAGGGCCCAGAACATCAAACAGGAGAAAAGAGGAATATTAGCACATTATAGCAAAATTTAAGAATATCAGAGATAAACAGGAAAAAAATTCTTAAAGTATCTAGAGAAAAAAGGAACAAGAATCTTCAAAGGAACAATAATCCCATTGGCACCAGACTTCTCAACAGTGACATCAGATATAAGATAATTAAATGGTAGATTTTAAATACTCAGGAGATCCATTCAGTGAGCATGGAGACAGTCACAAAATGCCATCACTCTCACTGTAACATCAAGGAATCAGAGACCCTGTAAAATCATATCATTTAACCTATCAGATTGCTGAATATGGCTAGAAGTACAGATGAGCCCTTCCTGGGTGAGAAAGACTGATGACGGCTGTCATCCCAGGAGCAAATCCACTGTGGACAGAGCAATTTGAGGAGCTGGGGAAATCCAACTAAGCTTTCAATGATTATGTGAGCAAGCATGATGGGTTGGAATCAGGAGTCGCAAATGCAGAGCAAGTGCTCAGCACCCACCAGTTCTCCCGCACAGGATTTTTACTAAGTGCATGGGAAGCCAGTGGCTGGGCTGGAAAGCCAGTGGCTGGGCTGGAAAGCAGAGAGATTCATAGCCTCAAAAGGCTGAGATTCCCCAGTCCACCTGGAGGGAGAGGTCTGTTCCAACCCTCAAGAATCTAAAACCAATCATGAATTGGCACTAATGAGCCCTGCACATCAGGCCCAGCCCAGCTCACCTCCGGATGATATCAGAGATCAGCTGTTCAGGCTAGGTGTCTGACACAGACTAGAGCCTGGCCATCCTAGGGGTATGTATTTTCTACTTTGGTCTCTCTGTTCTTGTATACAGTATGTCTAAGAAGCAAGAAATTATGACATATAATCTCAAGAAGAAACAGTCAATAGAAACAGACATGCAGATGACCCGCATGTTTAAATTAGCACACAAGGACTTTAAGATAGCCATTATAAATGTTAAAGAGAAGCAAAATGAATGAGAGAATAGAAAATTTGAGCAGAGGAAAGAAAACTTTTAAAAGTAACACAATAAAAAATACAACATGTGAAATGAAGAGTAAATTGGATAGGCTTACCAATAGAATGGATACCACAAAAGAAAAAGTCACAGAACTCAAGGACAAGTCAACAAAATTATTCAAACCAAAGATCAGAAAGAAGAAATGAATTATGATTTGTAAATGAATTTTTTTTAAATGGAACACAGGAAATCTGTGGGAAATATCAAACAAACAAGCACATAACTGGAGTCCCAGAAAGAGAGAGCAGAATAGGCAAAAGAAATATTTGAAGAGATAATGACTGAGTATTTTCTAAAAATGAAGAACTACATCAACCCACAAATCCAAGAAGCTCAGCAAATACCAAGCAAGATAAATACTGAAGTAAATAAACTTAAGACCTAAAAATTTTTATTCAAACTATTATTCAAATGTGAGACCATAATAAAAAATGCCCTTTGCAAACACAGCTTCAGAGACTTACCAAAAAAGGGTCTTTTTTTTTTTTGGAGATAGTATTCCAGTAGTAAGATAAACCTGGAATATTCTGTAAGCAGTAAGAGAAGGGAGGATTATCAAATATTGTAGGAAAGTCTGTCACTCTCTAAAAGGAGAGAGGAAAAAAGCAGAAAAAAGTGGCAGTTAAGATTATGATAGAAAAAAATGCAGACAAAGATGAATGAGCTAAATTCTCCAGGTAAAAGACAGATTGCCAGATTAATTACAAAACAAAACAAGCTAGGGACTCCTGAGTGGCTCAGTTGGTTAAGCATCCGACTCTTGGTTTTGGTTCAGTTTGTGATCTCAGGGTCGTAAGATTGAGCCCCACATCAGGCTCAGTGCTCAGCATAGAGTCTGCTTAAGATTCTCTCTTTACCTCTCCCTCTGCCCCCTCCCCTCTCTCTATAAAATAAATAAATAAATCTTTAAAAAACAAAAACAAAAACAAGCTATACTCTCCTATAAGAGATACTCCTAAATCATAAACTTAAAAAGACAAAGTAAAAATATGGAAAAAATATCAGGTGAATACAGATCAAAATAAAGCAGGTTTAGCTACACTATTATCAGCCAAAATAGACTCTAAGATGGAAAGCATCATTAAGGATGAGAGGCTCTCTTTCAATGATAATTGGTTCCAATTCACCAAGAAGATCATTATAAACATTCAAGCATCTAATATAATAGGGTCAATCATATAAAACAAAAATTAAGAGACTGCAGGAAGAAACTGACAGATTTACCATAATACTGTGAAATTTTGAACCACCTCTCTCAATTCAGGTTAAGAGGCCCCCAAAAAAAATCACAAAAAGAAGATTCAAATAATACAACTAACAATTTGAACTAATTCATTCTCTGAACACACAGAAAAAATTAAGTTATTAAGGACAAGAAGATAAATTTTAAATTTCCATGTTTATATATTTTTAAAGATACTTTGAAATGGCTTATGGATCAAAGAAGAAATATGGACAGTGACAAAATTTTAAATGAATATTAATGATCATTTTCTATACAAAAACTTGTCTGATGCAGCAAAAGCAATGCTTCATGGGAACTTTAAGTACATAGTTAGAAAAGTTCAAAAATTGATGAACTAAATGTCAGAGTTCAGAAGTTAGGAAAAGAACAACAAATGATACAAAGAAAGTAGAAAGAAAAAGGCAATGCAAGTAAGAGCCATAATTAATGAAACATAAGTCAAAAGTACAGAGAAGAGAACACCAAAATTAGTTCTTTGAAAACCCTATGAAAATGAACAAACTTCTATCAACTGATCAAGAAAAACAAAGAGCACAAATAAAAATCCTTATAAATGAAAAAGGTGACATAGACACAGAGCAGAGATTAAAAAGATAATGAGAATACCATCAACTAGCCTATACAAGTAAATCTGAAACCTTAGGAGAAATGGACATAATATTCATAGAAAAATATAACTTACCAAAAATGACTCAAGGAAATTTAGAAAGCCTATATAATCCTATAAATGTCTAAAGGAATTGAAGGAGTACTTAAAGCATTTTCCCACAAAGAACTCCAGGATGTTATAGGTAAATTCTACCAAATTGCCAAGAAACAGATCATTGCAGCATTATACAGGTTCTTCCAGAGAGTAAAAAATAAAGAATATGCACCAACCTATTATGTGAGGCCAGTATAACCTTGATACCAACACCAGATATGGACAGTTGGAGAAAGTAAAATGATGGATCTGTTAAACATATGAACACAGATGCAGAAATTCAATAGTCTATAAAGACTATATATACCATTATCAAGATGGATTGTTGCAAGAATAGTTTGATATTAGGAAAACCTGCTATATTAACCAACTGAAGGAGAAAAAGCATGTAAGTATCTCAATAAATGCATAATAAGCATTTGACAAAATTTATACCCATTCGTGAAATAAATTCTTACCAAATAAGGAATAAAAAAGTATTTCCTTACCAGATAAAAATCACATCACACATGCACATACATGCACATACACACCTCTAATACCATGCAGTATAAAATATATAGGATTTGTTGGAGGAAAAACTTGAGAGATGTCGCAGAGCCCACATAACCCCCGAAGTGTGCATCATCCCACAGAAAGGTGTGCTTAGGCCAGGCATAGCCAGACGAGTTACACTATGTGTGGCCAAGCAATAGCACTTCACACATTATAGAGAAAGAAGTACAGGTTACATCAAGAGAGCTGTGGAACAGTGAGTCTCCTGATCCTTGTTATACAGAGGTAGGATCTGATATTCAAAACCTGTGCTTCTGTTGATCTGACTCAGTCATGCTGAGCTACCAACAGGGGCAAGGAAATTAGCTTCTGGGGCAGTTTTACTGTGCCTCTACTCAAACCTCAAATAAACATTATCCTAAATAGACATTCCTCTTAAAATTGGGGACAACAAGGGGAGCCTGGGTGGCTCAGTCGGTTAAGTGTCCAACTCTTGATTTCAGATAAGGTCATGATCTCAGGGTTGTGAGATCAAGCCCTGTCTCAGGCTCCACGCTGGGGCATGGAGCCTGCTCAAGATTCTCTCTCTCTCACTCTCCCTCTACACCCTCCCCACTTCTCTCTCTCCCTCTCAAAAAAAAAAAAAATGGAGACAAGGATGCCCACTGTCACTAAGCCTCATCAATATTATATTGGAAGTACTAGCCAATGCAATAAAGTAAGAAAAAGAAAATAAAATCATGAAAATATGAAGGTAGGGAGTAAGAATGTCAGTATTTGTTGTCTTTAATCTATAAGCAAACTTTAATCTATAAGCAGTATGGTTGTCTTCAATCTATAAGCAAACTACTGAAAATGATAGAAAATATAATATGTTTACTGGATATAGGTAATTATAACAAAATTGCATTTTAATATATCAACAACAATTAGAAAATGTAATTATAAAAGACATAGTCAGAGAAAATCAATGAAACCAAAAGCTGGTTCCTTATTGAAAACCTCTAGTTAGACTGATCAAGAAATAAGAAAGAAAAATTAGCAACATCAGAATGAAAGAGGAGACATCAGTAAGGATCCTAACAAGCATTTAAAGGACAAGGAAGAGATACTGTGAGCAAGTTGAGGTCAGTATATCTGACAACTTAAAGAAAAGGGATAAATACCTTGAAAGACACAAATTACCAAAAATGACAGAAGAATAAATAGAAAATATGACTAGCCCCATACCTATTAAAGAATTTTAATATGTAATTAAAAACCTTTCTGCAAAGAAAATGGCAGGAATGGATTGCTTCACTGATGAATTCTATCAAACACTGAAGAAAAGAATACTAACCCTACACAAGCTTCTTCAGAGAATAAAGAAAGAAGAGCACTTGATTCATTTTGTGAAACCAGTATTGTCTTGATACCAAAACAAGACAGAGAGGTTATTTTTTTTTTTTTAAAAATGAACTTAGGGGTGCCTGGGTGGCTCAGTGGGTTAAGCATCCAACTCTTGATCTCAGCTCAGGTCTTGATCTCAGGGTCGTGAGTTCAAGCCCTGCGTTGGGCTCCACACTGTGTGTGGAGCCTATGTAAAAAAAAGAAAAGGAAAAAAAATGAAATTACAGACTAATATTCCTCACGAACATGGACATGAAAATCCTAACAAAATATTACTAAATCAAACACATTGTTATATAAAAAGGATAATATATCATGACCAAGTGGGATTTATCTCAAGAATACAGATTGGTTTAATACTTGAAAATCAGTAAGTATAATTCACCATATTAGGATATGAAGGAGAAAACCATATGATCATTTCAACAGATGCAGAAAAATCATCTGAAAATATTCAACTACTATTTAAAACTCTTAATAAACTAAAAGTAGATAGAAGGGAATGTCTTTAACGTGATGAAGGGTATCCATGAAACAGCAACAGCTAACAAAGTACTTCAGGGTGAGAGGCGTACTGCTGTAATCAGTAATAAGGCAGTGTGTCCATTTCACTGATTCCTTCCTGCATTGTCCTGGAGGTCCCAGACAGGGCCACAGACAAGGAAAGGAAATAAAAGTCACATCTACTGGAAGAAAGATGACATGGTCATGCACATAGGAAATCCTAAGAGATTCTACAAGAAAAAGCTATAGAATAAATAAGCAAATTCAAGTGAGTCCCAGGACAGGGACAATATACAAAACCTTAATATTTTCACAGTCTACCAGTGAACACTTGGAAAATAATATAAAATGAACAATATTATATATAATAGCACCAAATATGATAAGTGTTTACAAATGTTAAATGAATTATAGACGTAAGTGTAAAAACTAAAACTATAAACTTCTAAAAAATCCTATGAGACAATCTTCACAACAGCTGGAATAAAATGGTTATGCATTTAATAAAATATTACATTGTCCTACTTTTCACCACACACAAGAATTCATTCCAGATTAAGGACTTAAATGTTTTTCTAAAACTATAAAATTTTATGTGGAAAATATAGGTATCTTTTTGGCCTTGGGATAAGGAAAGATTTCTTAAGCCACAAAAAAAGCCCTAACTATAAAAGAAAAAAAAAAAAAAAAAAAGGACAAATTTGACTATATAAGAATTAGAAACTTAAAATCATCAGCCCTAAGGAAGAAAGTGGGATATAAGCTACAAACCAGGAAAAGATATATATATGACTGGTTTCAAGAATATATAAAGAACTCTATGAATTAATAAGAAAAGAATCATCAACCTAGTAGGAAAATTGGCAAAACACACGGAGTACGCCTTTCATAGAAGAGGAGATAATAAAGCCGACAAAAATAAAGAGAAATATTATCAACAAAATGCAAATCAAAAGCACAGTGAGGTGCAGTCAGCTGACAGAACTGCAGAAGTCTAAGAAGCCATCTACTGGTGGTAATGTGGATGACCAGGATTTCTTACAAATTGCCAGAGGGAGTGTAAATTAATACAAACACTTTGAAAAGGGTTTGGTAACCTGCCTATCAATTTGACCAGGCATAGAAACTGTGTCCCAGAGATTCCAGTTCTACGTTTAAATCTAAGAAAATGGGCACATTTATACCAAGAGCTATGAAAGGAAATAGAAGCATTTTTTAAAATAACAAAAAGTCTAAAACCAACCCAAATGCCCACCACATAAGAATGGACAGAGTACGGTAGAATCCCGCCGTGGACTCTGTTACTGTCGTGTTCACACAGAGACCTACAACAGCATGGAGATAGCTCATTAGTATCATTTTGAGTGAGAGAAGAGTACATGTATCACGATATCCTTTTAATAAAATTCATAAATAGCAAAAACAAAACCATACATTGTTTAGTTCATAACAATTAAAACCCTAAAGAGGCAAAGACATAACCCCAGAAATCCGCATCACAAGGGTGGGGAAGTGCATGTGCCCGGATGAGCCAGTGAGCATTCTAGCTCCTGGGTGTCTTATTCACTACCATTTATCTACTTTCTTACATTTTAAGCATTAAAATTAAACTTTTCTAAATTGAAGATTTTGAATTCCGGAGCACCGCTCCCAGTTTAAAATAAAAAACAAGCCTGTGGCAAATACTCTAAAGTGAAGGCCTCGTCCCCAAATGTAGTGATTTCATACATGGTGGCTGTGAATGGGGAATTGGCAAGATGGGGCCTGGCCACCTGGCAGCCGCTGGAGTGAAGTCCTCAAGGTCATGATGAGCATCCCCCGTCCTGGGGCCCACTGCCCACCTCTTCCTCTCCAAGGTGTTTCGGGCCTCTCCAAGCACTGAGGGGTGCTGGACAATTCTGTCCGGCTCCTCAGAACAAAGCTAATTTATGTCCATCTTATTTGGCTTCAAGCCACTGCTTCCAATCACAACACCGCTTTATTCTTGGGGTCCCTCCTGGTGCCCGTGCACCTGGGCTCCCCTCTCGGAAGCTGGAGAGTGCGGATCCCAGCCTCCCAGCCGTGCCTGCAGGGGGGCTCCTGCCTCACAGGGCACAAAGGAGGGTAAGACTGCAGGGCGCAGCTCCACCCCCTCCCCGCCTCCCCCAGGCTGCCTGGCCCAGCACTGCCTGCTCTCTGACTCCCGCCTCTCTTTGTAAACATCTCATCCTCCACCTCCTGGGGGAGCAAGCTGACCTTGACGTCCTCTCGCCTTCTGCAGCCTCTGCCCCAGCGGTAGAGGAGGTGGGGTGGAGAGAGTCACACCCTGCCTCTGGGCCTGTGCTCCAAGCCGGCAGAGGGAGGGGAGGCCTGCGGGGTACACTGGTGGATGAGCCTGTACCCCTCACACCTGGGTAGGGCTCTAAGCCCTGAGACAGAGACACTGCTCCAGGGAGGGCCAGGCCCAGGATGTGTCCAGGCCCCTGAGAAGCCTGGGCAGTGAAATGCTGAAGTGACTTGGGGGTAGGGCCTTTGTTGGGCAGACAGCGGAGAGGGGGGGCATCAGGCTAAAGCCTCAGCACACATGTGAAATCCGGGGGTTGTGGAGGCCCCTGGAGGTCCGCGTAGAGCCCACGCAGGGCCGTGCAGTCCTGTGTAGGGCCGTGTAGGGCCTGCGTCCCACCTAGATGGAACCTGCATAGGGCCTTGCAGCCTCCTGTCCTGTCTCTGCAGAGACAGACGAGTGCCAAGCGCAGCCATGCCATAACGGGGGCTCCTGCAGGGACCTCCTGGGGGCCTTTGTCTGCCAGTGCCCTGCAGGCTTCACTGGAGTCCACTGCGAGACAGGTAGGGGCTGGGCCCGGCGGGGTCCCCTGAGCGGCTGGGCCCTCACCCACATTCGAGATGCCCTGGACATCCTGGACAAACCTATTCTCAACAAGCGTAGACCCTGGGCCACTCGGAGAGCAGAGGGACATGGCTGGGCCCCTGGCCCCAGGGTGGGGGGGGGAGGCACCCCAGGAAGGGAGCTCCGAGGCTGAGGGGGATTTCCCCAGCAACCCCCCCCCCACCCGGCATCTCTCCTCGATCCCCCTTCCCTTCTTCCCGCTGTCCTCTCCTCCCTCCCCCAGACACCCCCTGGCGGCTCTGGCCGACTCTCTGGGTGTTCTCCAGAGGTGGATGGCTGCCACTCCAGCCCCTGCCAGCACGGAGGCCGATGTGAGAACGATGGCGGGGCCTACCTGTGCGTCTGCCCAGAGGGCTTCTTCGGCTACCACTGTGAGACAGGTAGGGAGGCAGGGGCCAAGCCCCCACTCCTCCAGAGGCCCTGTCCTCTGGCCTCTGCTGGGTCCCCTGATGCCAGCTACCCGCCTCCTGCACTTGCCCCTCCAATGGCCCCCCTCACTCCCAGAGACAGGCTGGCCCCGTGGACGGGCGGAGCTCACCTCTCCTTACACCTGGGAACTCTCCGCACATTTTCCTCCTTTATAGGACTTGCCACTCTCTGCAACTGTCTCTTCAATTTGCTGGTCTCAGCTCTCCTCCTAGGATGGGTGTGTCCCAGGGGCACGTCCTGTCCTAGCCCCCAGGCTGGGCTTGGCTGGCAGCAGGCCGCTGGGTGGGGTGCACAGGGCCGCAGGGCAGTGAAGGCTGAACTGGGCGGGGGGAGGGCGAAGGCCTAGGGCCCAGGGACTGTGGGGCCTGGGAGCCCGGGCATAAGCACCCTGGGGGCCGCTTGTGGCCAGGGAGTCTCACTGCACAAGCTTGGGGTGGGTGAGGGCACACCCGGAGGACCAAGGTTAGTGGCCGCGACAGTGATAAGGGGGCTCCCGTGGCTTCAGTGGGAACCTGCGGGCCCTGGCCCTGGCCTAGGGAACTCAGGTCCCCTGGGTGCCCACAGCCCCGGGGCAGAGGGAGGCTGCCCTGGCTGCCAGGTTCTCCCCAGGAGGGGCAGCACTGTGCTCGCCCCACCCTGAGTCGCCGCCCACCAGGCTACTTGGGCTTGGAGCGGCGGTGGGATGACCCGGCTCTGTCTCTGAGCCAGCCTCTCGGTGAGAGCTCTCCTGGAAAGCCCTGCGTTTCCCCCGCTTCACCTCCTCAAATCGCTGCCTGGGATGGCTCCACCCACATCCACCCCACAAACACGCCTACACAGGAAGGACCTGTTGCCCCCGAGAGCAGGGGTCCCTCTGGGGGAGCGGGTAAGGCCCCAGTGTTCACTGCTCCTTTCCTCTTCCCCAGTGAGTGACCCCTGCTTCTCCAGCCCCTGCGGGGGCCGCGGCTACTGCTTGGCCAGCAATGGGTCCCACAGCTGCACCTGCAAAGTGGGCTACACAGGCAAGGACTGTGCCAAAGGTGAGGTGGCAAAGGTGCCAGCATAGGCGGGCCCCCTCGTCCCCCAGAGGGCACAGACCCAAGCGCTGAGCACCCCCCAGGGCAGAGCGTCCAGTTTCCCAAGAAGCAGGGAGGGGTGTCCAGCGGCCCAGGAGGCGTAAATGCACTCACCTGAGCACACACACCTGAGACCCGCCAGGAGGCCCTGGCCAGAGACCAGGTGGACAGGGCCACTGTGGCAACAGGAGCTGGCTCCCCACCTGCAGTTGTTCACCTCCGCCGGGGGTGGCGGACCCGAGCCACCAGGTGAGACGTCTGGCTGGGGGCCAGGGCTTCCGCGGCTGACAGCTGACCACCCCCTTCCCTTGTTCTTGACGGGAACCCTGAAGAGCTCTTCCCACCAACGGCCCTCAAGGTGGAGCGAGTGGAAGAGAGTGGGGTCTCCATCTCCTGGCGCCCACCTGAAGGCCAGGCCGCCAGGCAGATGCTCGACGGCTACGCGGTCACCTACACCTCCTCGGACGGTGCCTACCGCCGCACGGACTTTGTGGACCGGAGCCGCTCCTCGCACCAGCTGCGGGCCCTCGCGGCCGGCAGAGCCTACAACATCTCCGTGTTCTCGGTCAAGCGCAACGCCAACAACAAGAACGACATCAGCAGGCCGGTGCTGCTGCTCGCCCGCACACGTGAGTGCCCACCTGGGTGTGTCTGTGGCCACCGGAGAGGCACACTGGCCAGGGGCCCCAGGGCACCGGGGCTTAGGAGTGAGGCCCGGGGGAGGGGGGCTCCCCGAGAAGGCACCTGCCAGGGGCCAGCCCACGTTGGGGGTGCTGAGGGGACAGGCCAGGGGCCCAGGAGGTCACCCCAACACGCTGAGGGGGTGGGGAAGGAGCCTGCTGGTGGCAGTTCTAGAGAAGGGGGCCAGCAGGGAGGGGCCTCTGGGGGGACAGCTGCGCAGGACGGGGAAGCATAGTCTAGGGAGGCCTTGGGGCCTTACCTGGCTCATCAGCTTCTGGGATCTACAGGGGAGGGCCCAGTCCTCCACGGGGAGGAACCAATGGTGGGCAGAGGCCAGGGGACCGCAGGAGACTGTGGGAGGGGGTGCTAGAGGCTAGAGGAAGGAGCACGGACGGGGCAGTGGTCCCCTAGGCGGCACAGAGGGCCCATGAGGGCAGCTGGTAGGGGTTCAGAGTGTGGCCAGCACACAAGGGGGTCTGCTCCCACCATACCAGGTGCTGGCACAGGTCAAAGCAGGCAGGCAGGGCCGGCCCCAGGAGCACTGTGAAGCCAAACAGCCAGGACCCACCAGTGGGGACTCAGGCTGGGGAAGGAGGGAGGCGAGAATGCTCAGAGGCACGGACAGGAATTTTGTGGGAGGAGGAAGGTGCCCAGGTGTCACCTGCCAGCCCAAACCAGACACTGACCCTGAGGACATTGAGGGCCAAGTGAGGGATGAGATGAGAAACTCAGGACAGGTGTGTGGTGGGGAAGGCCAGCCAAGAGGCACTGAGAATGCACCTGGGCCAGCAGGAGGACCTGAGTGAGCTTGTGGGGCAGAGTGGGCTCAGCCTGAGCTTGGCTTTAGGAAGAAATGGCATCCCTACCCCTCCACCGACAGAGTGAGAGTGGGGTCTCCCCAGGAGACCAGGGTGGGCAGGAGGGACCGCTGCCCAACAGACTGGGCACCTCACTGTCAGGAGACAAGAGCTCCCCTCCTGGCCCCTGTGGTTCAACCAGGCCCTTCCCCAAGGTAGTCCAGGATTTTCCCAGCTTCCATCCTTGGTAGGCCCCAGCATCGCCCAAATGTTCACTGTCAGTGCAGCCAAAACGGCCAGGGAAAAGAAAAAGGAGGTCCCACGGTCCGTGTGTCCCAAGGGCCCCGCCCCACTGCCTGGCATGTCTAAATAGGCAAGACCCCAGGCCTCTGGTGGAGCTGCCTCACGCCCCACCCCAGGCAGGAGCCTGTCCGATTGACCCTAGTCCCACTGTGGCTGAAGGCCACACCAGCAAGCCCAGGTGGGCCGGCACCTCACTTGGGCCCCTCTCGGTGACCCCCCAGCACACTTCCCGAGCCCTGTCTCATTGTCTCAAGCCCCTGCCTTCCCCTGGAGCGAGGAGGTGCCAGCATCAGCTGAGGGGCCTATTGCCCCCCAGGACCCCGCCCGGTTGAGGGCCTTGAGGTCACCAACGTGACAGCCAGCACCATCTCAGTGCGGTGGGCTCTGCACAGGATCCGCCACGCCACCGTCAGCAGCGTCCGCGTGTCCATCCGGCATCCTGAGGCCCAGGAGGACCAGTCCACCGATACGGACAAGAGTGTGGACAGGTTCACGTTCGGGTGAGAGCAAGGGCCGGCCTTCGCTTCCCCCGGGGCTCTGGGGCTTCCTCCTTTCTCCCTCTGTGCCCCTCCCCTGCCACTCCCCACCTGCCCTGCCCGCCTTGAGAAGCAGGAGTGTGTGCACCTCCCGTGCTGCCCAAGCACCTGCTCAGCTCTGACAGGCTGAGCCCGCCTTTGTCCCAGGCCTCAGCCCTGCCGTGTCCTGTCACAGGTGCTGCCAGACAGGTGTCTGAAAGGGCCCTGGCAAAGTAGGGAACGCTCTAAAACTCGGGGGGTCGTGCCCCCTGCACAATGAGACCGAGCCACCCAGAGAGCGGCACGGAGCTGTCCTAGCCTGAGTCACACAGGCCCCTCTGAAAGGGAGACACAGGGCACCCCTACACTTGCCTTACATTTTTATATTGTTCAAATCGTATGTTAGGACCTTAAGCTAGGCATATAAACGTCTTATGCTTAATTATTACAAATCAAATACACACAAAACTACAAAGTAAATACAACTCACAAGAACATCAGTCATTCAGACTGGCTGAGGACTGAAGTAAAAGCTGGAACGGCCCCACAGTGAAGGCCCAGACCACGGCCTCGGCCCGCTCCGGTCCGTGATGGGCCCCTCGGGGTGGTTCGCCAGCCAGGGAAGCGTCTGACACCTGCTGGGAGCAGTGCTGGAAGACGGGCGGGTGGGGAGAAGACCGGCTGGGGTCCCTGTGCCTGCAGAGCGAACACAGCTCCAGCTGAGGAGACCCCCACCGAGTCAGCTGCACCTCTGACGCAGCAGACGCCAGGTCGCTCTGTGGGGACAGAGCAGCAGCACCCCGCCCAGAGCCGCCACAGGCCGTGGCCGTGCAGAGGGGTGCCTGGAGGGGGGCAGGGGTCGGGGGCAGGCAGGCCAGGCCAGGCGGGGAACACGTCCCGTCCGCATCCCTGAGCCGCCCACACGGCTGCGCATTTCTGGTCGGCGGACTCACCAAGACCCTATTTTGCTTGCCTGCTGTGCTGGAAACAAGACTCTGCTTTGTGTTTTAAGTGTTGCTGTGACCTTTCTTGATTGATGTCCTGCCCACTTCTAAGGACTGGTGTGACAAAAACACACGTGGGACGCTGGGTGGGCACTTGGTGACTGAGTCAGGGTCGCCAGGACCACCCGGCCCGGTGACTCACTAGGGCCCCCCCAGACTCAGCAGAGGCCATGCCCCCAGCTGGGATTCACAACAGAGACATGGTGCAACGCACAGGAAGGGAGAAGTCGGGGGACCAGGGCTGAGCTTCCGGGGCCCCTCCCCCTGGAGTTACACAGGCCACCACCAGGCGTGACGACATGTGAGGTGCTGTCTTCAGGGGAGCCCGGGAGAGACGCAGCGTCCAGGGTTTTTATCGGGGGCTGGGCCCGGGGCACCCCTGCCTGCTGTCGATTCGGGGCCCCCAGGAGGAAGCGGGTGCTCAGCATGAAACACGCTGCACAGAAGTGTGGGGGCAGCAAGGTCCTCTCATCCATGAGGGTGCCGGGAACTGTCCCGGGAACTCCCGCTGAGGGCCACCCAGGAGGGCAGTGGGGCCTGCTTGTTGACCCTCTTCTGCACAATGACCTCCAAGTGCCCCTTTCTGGCCTCTCCTGCCTGAACACCAGTCTCTGCACCATAGCCCTCCCAGGCAGGTGTGGACCATTCTCGACCCCTGCCCTGTACTAGACAGACAGACCAGGGAGTAGCTCCCACCTGAGGAACACACGGGTCTCAGGCCACAAATCTGGTCATTCCGGAGGCCACCTGCAGGACCACCCACAACTAGTCCCGCCTGTGTGGAAGGAGTTACAGTCTGGCAGTGGAGTCTCTCCCTGGCCTCCCTCCCCCAGGGCCCTGCTGCCAGGAAGGAGATACACCATCCAGGTGACTGCCCTCAGCGGGCTTGGGGGACAAGAGCCTCCCACCGAGAGCCTGGCCTCGGCCCCACTGCACGTGTGGACTCGTGAGTACATGACCTCAGGTCTTGTGGGACCTTTGGAAGCTCTCACCTCCCTCCAGCCCGAGTCCTACCAAAGTGGCTCTGGCACCCCAGAGGTCTTCCCCACCGGCGCCAGGAAGGGTGGGCATCCCAGGAAGCCCTCTGCTTCCAGTACCCAAAGGCTCCTGGGCTCCTACCAGACGGGGGTCAGAAGCAAAAGGCCAGAGGGCATGCAGGTGAATGCCCACACTGTCCAGTCCCTGATCTTCACGGTATCTGGTGGAGAGGAGGCCTGGCCCTCACCACCCCTCCCACCCCAATATGGAGGGGGCCAGAGTGCCATGCTGTCCATGCCAGGGGGACCCGTGAACAAGGAGGGGTGCGTGGTGAGGAGGGAAGGTCTGGGCAGGGTCTTGGTTTCAGGTTCCAGGACAGCCCAGCTGGGGGAGGCACATGGACAGCCCATGGGCAGGGGGGGGGGGGGGGGCAGGGGGGTGAGGACCGGCTCAAGTCCTGGCACTGACCCTGAGTGCTGGGACCCTGGGGGGGGCAGGGGGGTGAGGACCGGCTCAAGTCCTGGCACTGACCCTGAGTGCTGGGACCCTGGCCCACTCCCTGCCCGTCTGGCCCCCTCCCATACCCCAGGGGAGGGTGCATATGGCCCGGCTTAAGGAATCAAAAGGAGAATACGCTGACAGGCTGCGCAGGGATGGGGCCTCTGTGGCTGCTCCCAGGCAGCATGTTGGGGGGCCTCTCGGGCAGAAGGATGCGCTGCTGCTGACCCAGGTGCAAACACCCCTCCACACCACCCTTTAGGACTGTAAGGTTGTCCATCATGACCACATGGGGCTTCCGGGAGACTTCAGCAGTCGTGTCAGATCTTTAAACTTGGTGGTGGCCCCTTTCACCTCCCTCCCCTGCTCCGTGCCTATCAGGGCCCCTGCCGCCAGCAAACCTGACAGCCGCCAGAGTCACAGCCACCTCTGCCCATGTGGTCTGGGACACCCCCACTCCAAGTACCTTGCTGGAGGCATACGTCATCAACGTGACCACCAGCCAGAGCACCAAGAGCCGCTATGTCCCTAACGGGAGGCTGACGTCCTACACGGTGCGGGACCTGCTGCCAGGACGGCGCTACCAGCTGTCGGTGACTGCCGTGCAGAGCACGGAGGGCGACCAACTGCACAGCGAGCCTGCTCACCTCTACATCATCACCTGTAAGTACGGGCCTGCCAGGGACAGTGGGGTGGGGACGACCACTGATGGGGCCAGGAAGGCGGCCCAGCCCCTCGTGCTCACTGCGGGCCCCCAGCAGGACAGCGGCCTGGGCTGCCCTCCTTGGGGTGTGGCATCCTTGCCCAGGAGACAGGTCAACCCCAGGACCCGCACCGGCGACACTGTCCCAGGGACATCAGACAACCGCAAAGCAGGACTGTGTTCACACAGGAGAATTTGGGGGTGTGAAAATCGTTGGGGAAGGAAGGACTCACGGACAGTTAGTGCAGGGTCAGTGCACTGGGAATTTGTAGACATAAGCATATTGCTCCCCACCTTGTCCCTGGGGAGTGGCCTTGCAGCCAGGCCTGACTCACAAGGAGCCTCTGGACAGAAGGATGGCCACAGGGAGGGGCGGCCTGGGAGAGGCAGGAAGACCCAGGCGGACAGACGGAGGGGAAAGAGCTGAGAAGCACAGAGCCTCAGGCCACATGGAGGATGTGGTCTGCCCCTCAGTGCCCAGGAGGCCCAGAGGGCCCCACCAGGTCCTGCACAAGGCTGCTGCCATGCTGGAGCACAGACATGCTGTGGAGAGATGGCACGCCCCATGGACGCTTCGGGGAGGGCAACAGGGAACAGGGAGGGAGCAGGGAGGCGGACAGTGGCTGGGCCACAACACAGCCCCAGAGAGCAGACACATGGGCACCTGGCAGGAGGGTCAGACCCTGCGCAGCTGCAGGCACACCTGCCTGAGGGAGGGCTGGGGGGCACAGTTAGGGCACAAGGGCCCACAGAGAAGCCACGCCCTCACTCTCCGGGCATGTGGGGGTGGGGGGGCCTCTCTCAGGTGTCCTGTCAGGTCCGAGTGGCTGGCCATGCCCTACAGGTGGAGATCTGGGGTCCAGGGTGGGCTAGGCGAGCTGGCCCTGTGACTCCTGGGATGGGATGCAGGGGGTGGGCAGGGAGCAGGGCCTGGGGCTTCCCAGGAAGCCACAAAGCCTCCATGAGGCCTTGGGGCTGCACACGCCATCTCCAGTGCTCCCCTCCGGGGGTGCCTGGCAGGATGAGACTCGGGCAGCCACCCACTCCTCCCACCCACCTGCAGCCTCGAGGGACGGCGCCGACAGACGCTGGCACAGGGAGGGACTGCATCCCCGGGTGCTCAGAAACAGACCCCCGCCCGCACGCCTGCCAGAGCTGCGCCTGCTCAGTGACCGCGACACGCCTGAAACCCAGACGCCGGCCCCCAGGTGCAGCCTCGGCCATCCCCCTAGAGCGCGCGGCCCCAGGCATGTGCTCCGCGGCGGTGACCCGTGGTGACTCCCATGGCAGGTTCTCAGAGCTGGTGGACGGCAGAGGGCGAGTGAGTGCCAAGTTTGGGGGCTCGCCTGGCAAATCGGCCACCGTGAGATCGCGTGAGTGCCTCGGCCAGCCCCAGGGGCCTCACTGCCACCTCCTCCTTGTCCCCGTGCACGATGAGGGATGAGCCCCTGACACCTGGACTTAAGACCCCACCCCCAGCGCCCGATTCCGTCTCCACTGGGGATGCAGCACCACACAGGCCCTCGCAGCTGCACGGGCTCACGGGCTTCCCGACACAGCAGGATGGGTCGGAGCCCAGCTGCTGGCAGGGCGCGGGGCCAGGAGGTCTGAGGCGCGGAAGCCAGGCTTGCCAAGCCAGGAGTCACAGGGTAGCTTAGTGAGCAGGAAGCAGGAGAGCACGGCACCATCTAACGCCTTGCTGCTCAAAGTGAGATCCTTGGACCAGCAGCACCAGCCTCGCCCGGGGCTTCTAGACGGGCAGGACCCCTCCCGGAGCTGTGCAGCTGGAATCTGTCTTTAATAAGGAGCCAGGTGATTGGCACGCACATCACAGTCTGCGGACTGCACCCCTCCGTCACAGTAAGAGACCGTGTCCCGGGTTCCGATCTTGCTCGGCCTGGGCCAGCAGGACCACGTGTGGCAGAGCAGTGGGCCACTCGGCCTGTCCCCAGCAGCACAGGGCAGTGGGTCCAGATGGGCTGGCCCCTTCCCACGAGGCTCAGCAGGAGCGGGTGGGCCAGGCATCCGTCTGCAGCAGGTCTTGCCCGAGACTGTGGCACACCGGGCCATGAGCGACATGCCCACTGGCCACCTCCCCCCACCGCCCTCGCCGAAGGCCCTCAGGACCCTAGGCAGGGCAGCCAGGCCTCGTCCTCACCTGTAAATCAGGTCCTGTTCTCGTGGAATCCCTGGCACAGACCCTAACTACCAGTTTAGTGAGAATTTTCAACCAGCACAAACATTCCCAGGCCAGGGAAGAAAAGGGACAGCAATGAGCAGGTGGGGGCGTTGCAGCCCCGGCGACCAGAGGAGGAGCAGCAGAAGGGCTCACTGGGCATGATGACCAGGAAGAAGTGTCTGGGAAGCTGGGCAGGCTGGGCTGTGACCCAGACACCCTCCTAAAGCCACAGAAGCAGTCGTAAAAAGCCTAAGCTCACAGGCAGGGACCCCGCAGAGAAGCTAACTTGCATATAGGGTTGGCCAAGTGCAAGGTCTGCCTGAGGGTAGAGGTAGGGGGAGGAGGCACCATAGCCCCCAGGAAGCAGGGGTGGAAGGAGAGGAGAGTGGAATGTGACCATAAGAAGGACAGCACAGCATCCACCTAGAAGGATGGGGCTACTGGGTCAGATAGGACATGTGGCCCAGCCTTGGGCCACTGGTGACCTTCACTAAAGCAGCACTGAGGTTCAGCAGGAGGGTGAGGGCTGGCCCCCACCTGGAGAAAAGCTGTCCTACTGGAGGCAGCTCTGGGGCCCAGGGGACTCTGTGCCCCAGTGGTGGGTATGGCAGCAGATGAATGGGCCACACCGAGCCCTCACCATGGCAATCTCTATACATGAGGGAGAGAAGCAGCTCAAGAAGGTGAAGAAACAATCCTGGGCATGAGGCAGAAGGCTATGGGGCCAGCACGCTGGGACATTCTGATTTCTCCTAGAATCCACAGCTCCAGTGCAGCTTGAGAACACGGAGGAGACCCCCAAGCAGGTGCCTGAGCAGGTCAGCCTGGCCCTCCAGCTTCCTGAACACGGCAGTGACAAGGACATGGAAAGTAAGTCAGCAGGCATGGACTTGCAACACTGACCATCCTAGGGGGCCTTAAGGACCATGGGGGGGGGGACACTCATAGTGAAGAAGTGGGAGACTCAGCATCGCCCAAGGGGCAGCCAAGCATGCCATCCTGGAAAGGGTGGGGTGAATCACACCACACTTTTACAGACAAGGAACAAGCCTGGAGAGCAGACCCTCCCAAACTACCTAGGTCTGCCCCAGAGGGACTGGCCCTCCACTGCAGACAGCCCCTCCTTCCCTCCACATAAAGCTGAGCTCACCCCTCGCCTCTCCACAGAGGAGATGTTGAGCAGGACGCAGCGGTCATGGAGGGGCAGCTGCTGAGCATGCTCCACATGGAGGATCGCCGGGCAGGCCACCACCCGTGCTCGGTGCAAGAGGCCAGCAGGGCCTTCCTGACCACACAGGGCACGGGGCCTGTTCGGTGAGACGGTGCGGAGACACTTCTACAGGACATTCTTACAGGGCGTTTCACTTTTGGCACATGTTCCTTACACCAACTCAGATTCTGGCTCTACCTTCCCTCCTCGCTCTAACCCTTGGGGCTCTGTCCCTCCAGGGACAGTTCTCCTAGGACCCACTGGTTCAGACTGTGCTTGTGCATCAACCAGACCCCGAGGAAGGCAGGGTACTCGCTAAGGGTGAGCCAAGTGCCCAGGATGCCCCTCTGAAGGCGCATCTCACCTGCAGACCTGCCCCAGGCTACCCAAGGACGGCTGCATCAAGAGCACCTGCGTCAGAGGGCGTGGCAGCAAATAAAGCCACAGTCCAGCAGGCCCCCTCCCGGTGTGAGGCCTGGAGCTGGAGTCAGCCCTGGTGAGCAGCAGGGGGGCTGGTCTGCGAATCAGATGCAGCCAGTGAATGATTCTCTTAGTTAAGGTGGGGTTCAGAGTAAAGACACGCATGTCGCTGCTGCTTTGTAAGCGAAACAAGCACACGTTTCATCGGATGGTTTGTGTTATGTTAGCCCTTCCCAATGTTAAACGTTTCATTTCATAAAACTCAGGAACTAGTGGGATGTGAATGACCTCTCCGGGTCCCTTCTGAAGAAGAGATGCAAGGTGGCACCAGACTGGCTCTAGATGTCCCTGCAGTCTGCAGTGTTTGCAAACGTGAGGGATGCAGGCTGGCCAGGGGATGGGCAAAAGTGATTTTAGGTGATAAGCAGGGGGAAAAAAATCATTAACAGCCCCCAGGTGCGCCCAGTGAATCATGGTTTTTCGTTCCTGTTACCTCTAGCATGGGTCCATGACAGCCCCTTTTGTTTAGTTTGGTAAGTTAGCCTTTGCTAAGATGACGGCCTTAGATCTGGAACCGGACCCATGAACTAGAACATGATAGGAACTCGTATCTTGCTGTTGTCCCCCCGTGAACCTCGAGCCTGGATTTTGTGTTTACAGTCCCTTTGCTCTGCTGCAAGGTGGGCAGAGGGGAGAAGGGCTCTCCCTACATATGCACGTGTGCCTCAACAGCTGTAGGTTTCTTGTTTCAAGGTGAGTGCCTGGCTGTGCACAGCCTCCCCACTGTGTCCTCGGCCGCGTTTGCAGTGAGGCTGGCCGGCGCTGCTGCGTGCGGCCGCAGCTCGCTCGCTCACTGCTGAGCGTCTGGTCCGCCGGTGACTTCACCACAGCCTCGTCCGCTCGGCTCTGAGGGCCCCCCGGCCCTCAGCAGGGCCGCTCTGCTCTTCTTACATACGTCTTCTGGCACATGTGCGAGAATACAAATGCTAGGGCCTGGGATGCCTGAAAGCCCAAATCACAAGAGAACGCTAAGTTGTTTTCTAAGTGAGGACATCAGTTTACAGTCCCTCCAGCTGTGATCAAGAGATGTGGTTAATCCAGTCTCTCCAGACCTGATCTTGCTGGGTTTCCAGATCCTACCAGCAGCATGGGTGTGAAGTGCGCCCCTTGGGATCTGGATTTATGTCTCTTGGATGCTGATATGGTCAAGCATCTTTTCATTGGAATTGACCACGGGCTCTGGGTCCACTGCTCCGCTCCACTGTTTGGACTTCCTGGAGCCAACACCAGGGGTTTCAACTGCACTATCTTTGGTGAGGCTTGCTGTCCCGCAGTGCCCACCTGCTCACTTTGACCTCAGTGTCGCCTGCTCTTGGTCCTTTGCATTTCTATAAAAGTTTACAATCAGCTTGTCGAGTCCCATCAAAGTACTTGTTTATACTTCACCTGGCCAAATGTTTGAGGCCCTATATGCCTGAAAATACTCTTAGTAGCTCTCATATTTGAAGGGCAATTGGAGTGGGTATAAAATTCGAGGTTCAGAGGTCCTCTACCTTCAGTTCTTCAAACACTTCCCCTGTCATCTTCTGTCCAATGTTGCTGTCCATGGGTGTCAGTCTGGCTCTTGTTTCCTTGTAGGTTATCTGCTCATTTTCTCTGGAAGCTGTTAAGACTTTTCTTTCTCACAGAAAGAAGGATCTCCAGAGAGCCCTAGACACCCAAAGAGCACAATTAACACTCTTGACTGGCATTTCCTCATCAAGCAATTCTCCAGGTTGGGCCACACCTTCAAGCTCCTAGGGGAAGCTCATGGAGAGGAGGAGGGTCCCCAAGAGTGTAACCTGCCACCATGGGGATCTGGAGTGGACACTGAGGCTGTCAAAGAATTCTGTTTTCCCCAAATTCTCACCCCATCAGGGCTTTGGAACTCTCCTGGTTTTATCCCCTGGACACCGGAGAGGCAGGCAGTTTCCATCCTTGGGCGATAGCAGGCAAGGGCAGAGCTTAAATCTCTGTACTCGGTAACATTGTCACATAGGAGCCACCCGCTGCCACCACCCAGACTGCAGTCCTATCCCTGCCCCCACCCTATTCAAAACAGCCATCTCTCTGGGCTTTTTTGTTTTCTTGGTTTTTTTACTGTAATGGGTATGTGTGTCATGATAAACTCAGGATTCAGGGGGGCTGACTTCACAGGATGAGCTCTAGTGGGCAGTGCCCTGGTAGAAACCCCACCGCTTCAGGAACTGCAGGTTTCAGGCCTTAGCTGCCCAGGAATGGAACGAATTATCAGTCAGGCTCTGCAGCCCGGTGCCCCAGTTAGAGAGTAAGGACGGCTGGCACAGGCTCACAGGCTCTAAATATCCCTGCCATGTCCCGTAAGGTTGTCATAAAATATCTCCAGACAGTTGTTTATAGTGTCTAAATTTCATGTCCTATTTGACACCCCATTTTCAAACTTACTACAAAGCAATGGTAATCAGGTCAGTGAGATACTGGCCCCAAGACTTACGATGAATGGAATAGAATTGAGAGTCAAGAAATAAGCCCATACATCTGTGGTCAACTGATTTCAACAAGGGGCCAAGACCATTCAATGGAGGAAGGAATAGTCTTCAACCAATGGTGCTGGGAACACTGGATATCCACATGCGAAAGAATGAAGTCAGACCCCTACCTCACATCATATACAAAATTAACTAAAAATAGATCAAATACCTAAACCTAAGAACTAAAACTGTAAAACTCTTAGAAAAAGACAGACATAAATCTTCACGACCTTAGATTTGGCAAAAGATTTTAGATGTGACACCAAAAGCATGAGCAACAAAAGAGGAAAAAAAGACAGACTGGACTCCCTCAAAATGTAAAGCTTTTTGTGCTTCAAAGGACGCCATCAAGGAGTGAGAAGGCAACCCACAGAATGAGAGAAAATATCGGCAAATCATATACCTGAAAGACGTTTGTATCTAAAACATATAAGGAACTCATATGACTGAATAAAAGGAAATAATCCAATTAAGAAACAGGCAAAGGATCTGAACACTTATTTCTCCAAGGAAGATACACAAATGGCCAAAACAAGCCCATGAAAAAGATGACTGACATCATCAGTCATCAGGGAAATGCTAATCAAGACCACAATGAGACACCACTTCATAGTCACTAGGATGGCTGGAATGAAGAGATACAACGAGCAGAGTGAGGATGTGTAGAAGCTGGACCTCAAACACTGCTGGTGGGAATGCAGAGTGGTACAGCTGTTTTAGGGTAAAAAACAGTCTGGTAGTTCCTCAAAGAATTAAACACAGAGTTATCATATGATGCAGAAAATCCCACTCCTAGGTATATACCCAAAAGAAATGAAAACAGATGCCCACACAGGGTCTTGTACATGAATGTTCGTAATAGCATTATGCACCATTGCCAAAAGATGGAAACAACCAAAATGTCCACGGCTGACGAATGGATAAACAAAATGTGATCTATCCACACAATGGATATTATCCAACCATATGAAGTCCTGACACAAGCTATAAGATGAACCTTGAAAACATCATACTAAGTAAAGGAAGCCAGTCACAAAGGACTCCATATAATATTATTCCATTCATATGAGTCCAGAATAGGGAAATCTACAGTGACAGAAAGTAGACCAGTGGTTACTTGGGACTGAAGGTAGGGGTGGAGGTATGGGGGGTGACAGCTAAAGGGAAAATGATAAAAACATTCCAAAATTGACTACTGTGATGGATGTACATATCTTTGAACACGCTAAAAACTTAAAATGGGTGAATTATATGATATATATGTTATATCTCAATAAAGCGGTTTTTAAAATGTACTGTGCAGAACAGTGTCTAGGGTATCCCCTTTGTGTAGGAAAGTGGGAAGGGAAATATGAACATACCTATTTTCTTATATTTAAAAAGAAATAAAACTAATAAAAATGGTTATATGAGGAAGGAAAGAACAAGGAAGTAAAAGTATGGAGATGGATGCTAGACTTCTCTGAATGTATCTCTATAGTTTAGATTTTAGAACCAAGAAAAAAAAATTTTAATGACACACATTAAAAGCAACACCTAAAAATTGAAAGCAAACTGAAATAAACTCCTTTATCATGTTGATGGCATAACCACACAGGAAAAAGGTATTTCAAGTGATTTTAAAAATAGCTTTCTGACTATTCATTCCTAGAGGGGTATATTCTAATAAGAAGAATTCTTATTACAAGAAGAATTGCAAGAAATTTAAAGTGGCTCTTAATAATGCTAGTACTGGTAATATTTTTTTAGAACTGTTACATGTATATTGTGGGATAATGAAAATAATTATATCAATGTCACCAAGATTTTCAGTGTAAAGAGATACAACATAAAATCAAGGAAGTTAAGGGGTACCTGGGAGGCTCATTCAGTTGAGCATCTCACTTCAGCTCAGGTCATGATCTCAGGGTCCTGGAATCAGGCCCTGAGTGGGGCTCCCCGCTGAGCAGGGAGTCTGCTTGTCCCTCTGTCCTTTCCCCATGCCACTCATTCTCTCTCTCTCAAATAAAATCTTTTTAAAAAATTAAAAATGTTTGAGAGGCTGCTGGGAAGATGGTGGAGTAGGATGCCCTGGGCTCACCTCTTGCTGCGTGGCCGCCTAGACAGCACCCACGTCAGCATAAATAACCCAGAAAACTGGCAGAACAGACTCTCCCCAGCCTGGCACAGACAAGAGGCCACAACAAAGCAGATCCACCCCCTCCGATCGCTCTTGGCAAGATCCCATCAAAGCGGTGCCACAAGCCTGGCAGTGTGCGTGCGGCCCAGACAAGGGCCAGCACAGCTCCCAAGTGAGTCCTGCTCCAGGGAGAGGGGAAGATAACCACACACCCATCTGACTGTGACCCCAGCAGTAGGCTGGCAGCAGGCAGCTGGTCTGTCTGCAGGCCCCAACCACCAACAGAAGCTTCTCCGGGGACGACACAGGGAAAGTGCCCGCAGTTTGCTGCTACTGCATCTCTGGCAAACGCCTGGTCTGACTCAACTCAAGCCCAAGGCAGCCCTGGACAGGCCCACTAACACCACGGGCACCAGACTCTGCCCACAACAGGCAGGGAGCCATCACAGACAACAGGACTGAAGGCAAACACATCCCAGGCACAACGGGAGGACACCCCTGGAGCAACACACACAGGAGACACCCCCTGAAGCACCATTTTCTGGTGAAAAGGAGACATTGCACTGCAGGGCCTCTTCTTCATAAAGCCACTAATTTCAAGTGCAGGAGACATAGCTCACTTTCCTAACACAGAGAAACAGACACAGCAATAGACAGAATGAGTAAACAGAGGATTATGTCCCAAATGAAAGAGTGGAACAAAATAAGAGCAGGAGACCTAAGTGAAACAGAGATAAGTAATATGTCTGATAGTGAATTTAAAGTAATGCTCATAAAGATACTTGCTAGAATTGAGAAAGGAGTGCAGGACCTCCATGAGACCCTCCACCAAGAGATAGGAGATGGAAAAAAGAACCAATTAGAGCTATTGGACTCACTAAATGAAATAAAAATAGACCACCTGGAATAAATAGCAAACAAGAGGAAGTAGAAGAATAGATCAGCCACCTGGAGGACAGAGTAATGGAAAGTAATCAAGCTGAGCAGATGAGAGGGAAAAAAAATACACAAAAGAGAAGAGACCCAGGGAACTCGGCGACACTGTCAAGCATAACAGTCGCATGATAGGGATCCCAGAAGGAGGAGAGCAAGAAAAGGGGGCAGAAGATTTGTCTGAAGAAATAATAGCTGAAAACTTCTTGAATCTGGGGAAGGTAAGAAATCCAGATCCAGGAGGCAAAGAGAGCCCCCAACACAACCAACCCAAAGAGATCTGCACTAAGATATAAAGTAAATAAGATGGCCAAAAGTAACGATAAAGAGAGAATTTTAAAAGCAGCAAGAGAAAGGAAAGCCGTGACATACAAGGGAAACCCCATACGGCTATCGGTGGATTTTTCAGCAGAAACTGCAGGCCAGAAGGAAACAGCATGATAAATTCCAACTGCTAAAACAAAAAAATCTACAGCCAAGAATACTCTATCCAGCAAGGCTTTCATTCAGAATAGAAGAAGAGAGAGAGTTTCCCAGAAAAACAAAAGTTAAGGGAATTCATGACCAGGAGCAAAACCAGCCACATCCCTGTCATACACAATGCCATCGGCCAGTGGGTCCCAAATTCACAGTCCCGCCGCCCTCCTGCCCAAGTCAGCATGTACTACCTGCCACCTGCTCAATGCCAAGTCAACACGCCTCCACCTCAGGTTGCCAAGGGCTCAAACTGACACTCTTTCCCTCAAATTCCAGCCCCTGTGCTCAAGTTTGTGCACAAAAGTGGGCATAATTATAACAGCGGAATGAAGCAAACCAAACAGTGACACTATTTCTGTGGAATATAGAATGGATAAAAAGGGTGTGCAAGGCTGAGAACATCTCCAACAAGCACATCAAAAAACAATACATACAGCATGATTCCAGTTAGGAAAAAAAACAAACCTGGGAAGAATAATACAAGATGAAATCAGAGAGAGAGACAAACCATAAGAGACTCTTAAGCATAGGAAAGAAACTGAGGGTTGTTGGCGGGGGGGGTGCTGGGGTAACTGGGTGATGGGCATGAAGGAGGGCACGTGATGGAATGAGCACTGGGTGTTCTATGCAACTGATGAATCATTGAACTCTACCTCTGAAACTAATAATACACTATATGTTAATTGAATTTAAATAAAAAAAGGAAACCCCCCCAAAATTAAAAATTTTTTTAAAAAAAATCAAGGAAGTTAAGGGCGCCTGGGTGGCTCAGTTGGTTAAGCGACTGCCTTCGGCTCAGGTCATGATCCTGGAGTCCCTGGATCGAGTCCCGCATCGGGCTCCCTGCT